GAAGGTCAATCGTACTCGTCTGAATGTCACCACGCCATAGCGTGTTTACAATACGCTGAAAGCAATGAGTAAGCGCCATAAATCCTCACCATAAACATGGCCAAGACCATCGCTGAGAATCTTGTCGGCCGGTGAAAGAATGGCATTTGCAACGGGGTTCTCCTTTTCACGACTATCGGTCCGATCTCGATCTCTGATAGGAGTCGACGTTAGAAATGGATCGGAAGGAATTGCTTCAGGTGCCCAGTTTTCAGCAGTAGGTTCTGAAAAGAGAGCTTTGTGAGGCTTGTTCACGGTTATCATCAAAATATAAATTAGGATCAAGTCTTTGACGCTAAGCAATCCCGTTACCGGGGTGCGCTCTGTATTCGACTTCAATTCAGAAACGCAATGGCGTTTAAATGCTTATGTGAACAATGAATTGCGGTGGCTAGCCCAAGTCAGCCTTTTAACCTCCATGCACAAGTGAGATGATTCCAAATGACCCAAGCTCCACCGAAGGTAATTGATTGGCATGGGAAGCTGTCTAACACGCGAATTTCAAGGGGAGCAACTGCAGGTCCAATTTCAGCCAGCCGAATTGTACCTCCCATCTTTTCGGAAAGGAAAACTAGCACATAATTCGTTTAAAAGGAGAAATTGTGAGACTCTATAATAAAAGAGAGTTTTCTGATTCATTGTATAAGCTTTTCTAGGTACGAATTGATATGGAAGTCGAACGCATGGCGCATCCCAAAATGAGATTATTATTATCACTGAACGACTCATCGATTATCAGTTAACACTTACCTTCTGGTAGAAGAGGAGTTTCACAGCCAACCGCTATCGACTCTGCCATGTTACTCTTCTGTGAAGCTTCCAACCACATTGTTGTCGTCGTATTTGGAGAGTCCTGTAACGTCTGGAGTTCTGGGTAAGACGAGATCGCGAAATAGAGGAAACATACCTTTCCTCCTGGGTAGGCACTCCATATAAGGACAAACAAAGCTGCGACTACCAAAGTTATGTTACATATGAGTTCCTTAACGAAAAAGTAAAAGTAAAGTTCATGAGAGCAGCTATAAAGGACGAAGTCAACGCCAGACATGATCTTGTCATTAAAAATTGAAAAGAATCTCCCACTGGCTTTTGTAGGAAGCACACCCGATAAAGACCTCTCACGTGCTTTTGCTATGTGCTAATGTCGGTTCTTACCTTTCTCAAACCGTCTACCACGCCATTCCCAAAGTTATTCCTAATATATTTTGAAAAGTCGAGGTTAGTTTTGCTTTTGTAAAAAATTCAACGAATCGACAAAACAGCGCTCGTCCTATCGCGTTTGATAATTTCTGTTGTGATATGAGTCAGGAGGTGTCATGTCGGTCGCTTCGCTCGAACCACACAATCAGTTCGTATCGTAGCAACCCTGATCCCAACCTTTCTATTGATGTGGCAGAGAAAATTTGCTTCGCTCAGTAAACGCTTGTTCTTAAGAGGAAAAGCCTCTGATGCTCACCTGAGCTAGTCGCTCAAGGTGACCTGGTTTTGGCACATTAACCACGGCGGATCTCTTGACCCTTATCCTTTTGGTAGAAATCTATTCAACTTGAAGTCCCGAGTATAAATCTAAGTAAGATTACGGAGAATAGAGAACGAAAAGAATAAGCTCACCTTCAAAGGATAAGATATGTGGAAAAGTGGCCAAATAACACCCATCACGGTATGCAGCAGTGTCAGCGAGCACTATAACGACAGTGATTACCATACTAATCACTTGAGGAAAAAAAACAACAAAAAACCTACGAGAATGAAAAGCTGGCCGAGAGCTCGTCTTAGATGGAACTTCACGACTACGACGTCGAACTGCTTGTTTAGCGAGACCAATAGAGCAGTCGCTGAGGCATAGAAAGAGAGCTGAAAGAAATTTTCTCGAACTAAAGCGATTATCATTTCCTCAAAAGTAGCAGGGCAGTCGAAAATATACAAGGTTTATGAAGATTGATGGTATACCCTTCTGGTATACGACATTGCCAGCGTATCGGTGATGCGTCTGACATTGTAGGTGCCAAAGACGTCAGTCGGGTCTTTAGGTCAGAAAGATGATCATAATTGGTCATTAACTGGTCACTAGTACAATAAGTACAGGGTGATTTGAACGGAGAAAGGGGTGGATCCTCCCAAGATGAAAAAGGAAGTTGGGAAGTCAGATTCTGCAAGGGAAGTATATGATAAATAAGGAGTTGGAAGTTGGTAGATGCTCAGAACGAGGAAGAAATCACAGGTCAATCAGAAGAGACGACACTACTGAAGCCTCGGATGTCGTAAGGAATCGCAGGGTGGTAGTCACTTGATGTGAGCGGTGGAACAGCCAACCGGGAACCGGGGAACCAGGTAAGACATGGTGCGTGGTGAAACAACTACATAGTTAAGGCCTAGCATCGAGCATATCGCTACACCCCGAGATCTGGTGCAACTCGAACGAAATGACAATGTATTGGCTCGAATTCTGGGGGGTGGCAATTTACAGTTCCGATATGGAGTCACAGCAGATTTTATGGGTAGGGTTTTCCTATCTCTGATAAGATAATACTAGAACTGAACAGAAATTAGGTTTGATTTCCAGAACCAACAAGTTACCTACCAGAAGCATCAACCCAATCGGCAGGAAGATCATCCAGAATAACCAGTACTCTGGATCGATTGAGCATTGAGTAGCAACAACGAAAGTACCACAGGACACTAGACCAGGTAGGACGACGCCCAGAAGAAGACAAAGCGACAAACTGCTGCAATGAAGACGTCTAGGTAAAAATAAGTTCTGTACCTAGAAGGACCGTACCTGGACTTGGTCGATCCTTCTGACAGCATACGGTAGAGGTGAAGTGAGTAAAGAAAGAGCCATGCAAATGGAGCGCATGAACAGAAGGAAAGGACAGCGTTTCGGACTGGGCAGAACGTCTGAAAATACCTTTTCACCGTACTCCGTACCGAACTTTTCACTATCCAAAATAGCTGCTCTCGGCCACGAACCCAGGGCCAAGAGCAGCTATTTTGGGATTCTTACCTGATTTACAGCGGCTCTATTCAAAAAGTACAGGTTAGTGGCGTTTAATACAAAGGTTATGATGAATCCGACACGAACAAGTCGAGCAGTCGTACTCCTCCTTGAAAGGGTCAATACCATGGCTATCAAGCAGAACAGCAGAGCAGCTACAGCCATTACTGGAGCGGCCAGTGACGCCGAATGAGAAATTCTCATCTAAAATATGTGCCTGTTGGAAGAAACTGGAAGAGAAACAATTGTGAACTCACAAAGGTGCCCGTTTCGCTTTTGGCAAACACCGTAAACACTCCACTTGATTCGAATTCACAGACTGCATGCGTCAGGTTTAGTGCGACCAACTGAGCGTGGTGGGTCGACCATGAAGTGTGTTGAGCCTGGAAATACCCCATTTGCGAAGCATTCACAAAGCTCGTGCACATTCTGTTCTGAAGGAAACACGAACGTCCAGGTGGACGCATTCTGGATATCGCCAACCAGTCCGCTCATCCAGTTCAAATTCCACTCGGATTGGTTCGCTACTGTTCGCGTACACAGTCACCAAAGGTGTTTCGCAGTGGGTACAGCGTGGATGGGCTAGTATACTGTAGAATACCTGAAACAAGTTTCGGTTCAGTGTTGTTCTGCACAAGGCTGGACGGAAAAGAAAGGCGAAATCCAAAAATTGAGCCTCTGGGAGATGAGATCAGGTGAGTACGGAGAGGACAGCAAGTTTGAACTCACCCGAGTAGCATTCTTCACGTGAATGAAAACCATAGGAAAGCCTTCCGGGCGGTGATCGATGAAGTTGTTGTACTTAGGTAGAGTGTTTGAGAAATCGAGTACGTCCATGGAGAACACTGGAAGATTCTCCTATCTTTGAAGATTAGACTTATGGTGAACAACGAAAAATTCTTCTTAAACTCATGTAAAGATGACTTTCGACCCCAGTTTCCCTTTTTAGGCCCCGTCCACCTTGCCAGTCCCGCCCTGTTCCTCCCCAACACGAATATTGCGATGACGATGATACCTCATATTCTGCAATATTGACAAGCTGAGCTTGATAAGGAAATGAGGATCATTCGAGAGGGCTCTAGTGACTGTTATTTACTCTCCGGGATGCGTAATGGCTTTGTTTTGAGGATCTGTAATGATAATCGAATGTGACTTTAGCTTTCCAAAAGATTTTAGGCGAAAGTCAGAGTAAAGTTGATGAAACCTCCCGCGATGGTCCCAACAGTCGGTCAGATTACAAAGAAAATCATGCTAGACCGGAAATAATGCTATTTTTAACCGTACCTATATGGTCTGAAGAGAATTGAAACGGCTGTAGATAAGGCATCTGCTGATGGACGTTGAATACGGCCTCTCCGTAATCCGTGAGCTTTTTGACGGTGGCCAGATAACCTTCGGGAGATTCGTGAGCAGCCAGCTTCCCAGCAGCAAGTGCTAGCGACTCCGTGAACCACAAGTCCTTCAGATGGTTTCGTTCGAATTGATCAAGCCTGAAACCAATGGATGACTGGGATACGGTACGTCCGCGCACCTCAGGACAACTCACCTCAGCTCTGTATCCAGAATCCTATGCAGAGCGGTTCGGGCGATGTCGAGATTGCGACCATCTATCGGTTCGGATCCCCGGGTCGCATTGTAAAGCATCACTAGTAGTTCGCCAGAGGTCAGAACGTCGTACTGAAGCTTGGACGTCTTCAACTTATACATTATGAGGAATTGCATTGATCAGCGTACCTTGGACACCATAATACCGTACTCTGGCCGGGTACAGTTGAAGGTATTTACTCCGAGCCATCGCCCCATGCCATCGCACGTCCGAGTCGCCAAGCCCGTTTGTGTGCCCGGACAGGATTGACGAGCCGTTGCTCCTTGAATGGAGGGCAATAAATTCCATCGGCTAACATGACGAGAATGAGTCTTACCTTTGGAAGTCGTGGGCCACTGCACCCCATATTCGATCTGGGATGGACATTGGCCATGGAGCAGTCGGCAACGCAACGATTTTGGATCGAGAACCTGAAGAATAACGGCGTAGGTCATGTCTTGGGGTCCCATGAAGAAGGTAGGCACTGTGGAAGGATACGGTGAATGAACATAACTACGCGTCGTAGTCTCTTTACAGGGTCCTACTAGCATCAATAACAGCTCCAAGGGTAGACGCCAAAATCCTCAGTAGCGTTGGAAAGTGGGAAGAGGGCGCTTCAGCGGCTGTCTTCATGGA